TCCTCTGCCGTCCTCTTCTCCTTTTGCCTTCAATCTTTCCCAGCATCAGGGTCTTTTCCAAAGAGTCCTCTCCCTCTTTCTTTTTCTTTACTATATTCTTATTTTTTCTTTCTTTTCTATTTCCCTTTTTTCTTTTCTGCACCTTCTATTTTTTATTTTTATTCTTTTCTTTTTGTTTGTTTGTATTTTTTTATTATTGTAATTGTAATCTTTAATAAAATTACCATAAAAAAGAGATGCATAAGTTCACAAGATTCCGCTTTCTCAAAAAAGAAATGTTTAAAAACTATTTTAATTTCAGATGGTCTGTAGTCATTGTTCTGGGAAATGGCCAACATTTTGGAACACATACGCTCTGTGCTGTCCAGCCCAACCTCACTACACCTGCAGGGTCTATGTGTGTGTCAAAAAAACTGAAGATGGCAGCCACAGCAGCACAATCAAAGCCCACTCCTTATATACATGTGCTTATATCACAGACACATAGAAAAGAGGTGAGGCTTCATTTGTGCTACTGTGAATATCACCTAGACCTTTTTCTTCCCTCTTGTGGATGCCACTGGCCCATCTTTGCCTTATGCTGTTGATGTTCCCTAGTTGGGTAATGAAATGTCTACAAGCAAACAACCAAGCTCATAGAGCACCAAGAATGCCATAGTTCAACCCTAACCTACAGATATTCTCTTCTATTGAAATTCAAATAATTTTTCCATTTAATTATAAGTAGCTGACGTTGATATTGGTGTTTTTTCTTAAACCCTTGAGCATTTTAGTTCCTATTTACAATCTTCATCATATGGTAATGTTACATCAGACCACTTTGGATGAAGAATAAAGTCTACAATCTTCTATTATAAGCCTTAAAATGTAGCAATTAAATAAAATTGAGTACAGCAGTGGATACAAATTCAATAATTAGCGTGGTGAGCATGGCAGGAACAATTAGATTTCCTAATACAAAAACATTACAGCAGGAATGAATGACTGGTGGCCCTCCAAATGTTGAATTTAAACTTCAAACATCCCTCACCATTAACTTGTGAGAGTTCTTCAACACCTGGAACCCCATAAATTCCCTACCTGATTGACAGCACTGATAGCTAAGCCTTAGCAAATTAAGCTACTGTAGAATAATCAAAAACATACTGTTTAACTTTTAGGGAATTAACAAAATTAGAAATTAAAAAAAAACCCACAACCCAATTCTTAATTCTGAAGTTTCTAGTTATAATGGCCTGAGAGTGAGATTAAGTCTCAGAGACAAGCTACATATTACACCAACATGTAACAGTCCCCTCTTTTTTCCACTGGTCCTTTGATTAAGGGCAATTTGAGTTCAGTTGGGGTGGGGGGGGGGGGG